TCCCATATCTCTGCGATAGGCGCACACTGTAGACATATATTGAGAGGTCACCATCATCTCTGATAAAAGATTACGGACTGAAGATGGATGGATATATATATATATATATATATATATATATATATATATATATATATATATATATATATATATATATATATATATATATATATATATATATATATATATATATATATATATATATATATATATATATATATATATATATATATATATATATATATATATATATATCCATCCATCTTCAGTCCGTAATCTTTTATCAGAGATGATGGTGACCTCTCAATATATGTCTACAGTGTGCGCCTATCGCAGACATATGGGACTTATAGTTTCTCTGCGCCACGATTGACCACTTTAAAAAAAAGGTTTTTATTTTGTCGACCAGTGTTATTATAACAAAGAGCTCAATAATAATAAGCCAATTAATAACAGTTATGTATATATATATTTAGAAAAAATATATGTATATTCTTAATATATTTTAAATTCTCTTAAATTTAAATCTTTAACCTTTATAAAGAAAACGCGTTTCGCCTGAAGCACCCTGTATATTGAAGTGGAGATGGCTCTGGTCGATCGAACGTGACAAATAGTGCCATTGAAGATAATAGAATTTACGATCGCGTTATATCTCCGCGTCTATTGTTTCCGCGACGCCGTTCCGCCCGCTGACAACCGCCGTTTTTCTTCGTAGCATCCGCAATCACTCAATTACGCATCGCGACTACTAATCCTCATAATTCGCGTAACCCATCTGACTATTCATTGTCCATATCGCTGCTATCGAAATGCAGTATATGCAAATCTCGCGTTATATGCAAAATACTTAATTACTATATGCAAATACTCTCGATAGAAATATTATAAAGATTTTATACAAATAATTTTATGGAACAATTAGAAAAAAATCATTAGTCGATATAAACCATAGTTTTGAATGTATATCGTTTAAATAAAGTTACTAGACAAAACATTATAACTTTGCAAAATAGATTTCGTAACTTTCAAGCTTAATATTCGGTACAAGAATACAATTTATTCCACTAATGCTGATTTTTGTTCAGTATACTATTTTTTTTTAACACGAAAATGAATATGTTCGCATAATTCCTTGTTTTCGTCGAAATTTACTTTGCCTATATAAACGAATAACAAATATATTTAAATTGACTCTGACGGCTAATTAAAATTAATTCCAATATCGGTTTTTGTGCGTTAGATTTCCACAGTCAGGCACGACAAATGTTTTAATATAAATTTTACGTAACTGTTCCATTTAAAACAGAATTTTACACTTTAGTTTTCCCGAACATGAATATGCGGATCGATCGTTTGGAAACTCGATCTGTTTGGAAAACGTCTCGCTTCCATAATTGTGATATTAATTTTCAAGTCAATTCTCATTGTAATTAATGCAGTTTTAATTGCATTATAACCATTTGTATTGCATAGCTTATTATATGCAATTTAAAAAATTATTTTAATTATCAAAGTACCACCATTTTTTATTGAAACATTTATTTAAATTTGGTAATGTAAGAGCGACTTTATTATTTTCATTATTTAAATTGTATTTTATTTTTTCTCCTGTGCTCTTCCTTTTTCTTTTGTTTTCGACATTAGTTGATGTAGTAGCAATTGCTGGCGTGGATGTAGATGCATCTCTATCCTCTGACTTGTCTGATACTGTTTCAAAAACTGCTTCTTCTATTTCAAAATCAATTCTTTTAAGCATACTAAATTTTCAAATTCTTTTTTTTTGAGTTTTTAATTATTGATTTTGTATTTCGAAACAAAATGAAGGTAAACATGATTTTACAATTATTATAGTATTTATTATAGCAATTATTATTATAATTTATACTTACTAAAGAAAATAGAAGTTGTAACAATTACAGTAAAAAATTTTCCATTTACTTTATTAACCCACATTTATAAAATGCATAACATAAATTATGACAGTGATATACACACATTTAGAAAAAAAATATATAAAATATTTAAAAAACATTTAGAATATTACCGATTTCTTTTGCGAAATTTTTTAAATCATACTGAAATCCTTCAAAAAAAAGCTAAAAGATTACAAAGAAAATCGAATAAATTAAAAAAATCGCGTTCGCAATTCGCGAAAAGTCGTACAGTGTCTCGCGCGAAGCGACACTCCAGGGGCCCGACAGGCCCATCCCTGAGTTATGCCATGAGATGGATAGCCTGAGGCCCGCGGTGAGTAAATTACAAGGTAAGACGGAACGCCGACTCTCCCTCCTGATCCCTTGTCCTTCTCCTCCTCCTCACGCTCTCTCCTATCCTACCGTCTCCATCGTGTTTCTGCAAGGGATCCGAACGTCCCACGAGCATCCAACACTTTGGGCCCCGCTATGATACACCTTCAGCGTGGCTACTGTATTGCGAGATATACTCGGCGCTCTTCGTTCCTCCGCTCACAATCAGTCTACTCTCCTCTCTCCTCT